AACAACATTACAATGACGGCTCTTTATCGTTATTTGAACCCGACCTGATGGAATGACATGTAACTAAAAATTTTCCTATTTATGAGACTTAAGTATTTGGGTAATACAGTTCACGCTAAGATTGCACGCGACACGTATATGATTTTAGTGGTCGACAAAAAAAACAAAACAAAAAAAAGCAAACACTTTGACGTAATTTAAGTGTGTAGTACTAACTTTACTATTTCGGGGATTTATAAAACTAAATCACATACGAATAACAGAAAAGCAAACAATTAATAGTACAAAACTGTCATCTTTCAATTTTTATATTTTTCTATTCTTTGGTTACACGGTTCGTTTCGTGTTTGCTTTCTACTTCAATGCAACTTCCTTTTACATTTAGTCTTTCATATAAAAATCTAACATGACCACTGTCTAAAAATGGAATCATATCTGGTGGTACCTGCACCAGTGACGGAATAAAGAAGGTATGTTTCTGTGATACGCAATATACATTAGAAAGATCTGGAGACATGAGTTTTCGGAACAGAGAGTGGGGTCCAGAAGCTGCAATAACGAAATGGCAAAAATTCCAAAGACAGGTGTTGGTCTTGCTGGTTTGTCATTCCTATCGCTTGAACAGCTATTATGGGGACTATTATGTAGTCTGTTAGTAATTGTACCTATATTCGGTATCTGGCATAATTTTGCAAAAAATAATTAATATAACATTGAAGAAAGAAGGATAAACAGCTGTCAGTCAGCCCCGTGAAACCGCGGTTTGTGAGAACAGTGTTGCCTTGAGTGTAAATTTTGTCACGAACAATAAATCATATCTGTCCTCCCGCTCCGTCTCTACTCGTATTGGACCAGCTATTTCTCCTGTACTTCCACTGCGTCGTGGGGTCCCACAGAGCTTGATGTTGGGCCCTGTCGTCTTCACCTTATATGTTTCTCCTCTGGAAGATATACACTTATTTCAATAAAGTTAGTCACCAAAAACCTAGAAAGCTGAGATCACTGAGCATCATGGGAAACTTTTCATATCAAAAAAGCATGTACATACAAAGCTTTTTAAATACAAATTGCAGCTCGATGATGCTCAGAAGAGGCGAGACTGAAAAGATTCGCAAGTCCATGAACAGTTATCAAGCGGTTGAACGTGCAAAATAAATCTACCCATAATCCTGGTCGGCCTCAGCTTTATAGCTTTTCAGGTGACTAACTTTATTGAAATAAGTGTAATCCGTGCCCATGGCATAGATTGCATGATTGTACGCTGACCCTTCCTAACTCTACACGGTTTTGAAGCATCCCCAGGATGACTCAATACAGAAAATTGAACGTTGCATCATTGACATTAAGATATGGTCAACAAAAAACAAGCTGTTTCTCAATGATGACAAGACTGAGGTTATTCGCATCTTTTCAAAATTTTCTTCATGCCTTCTAAACTTCTGATTGTACTATACCTCTATTTGCAGAGGTACGAAACCTATGAGCTATCTTAGGTAAGAATAAAGCGTTACCTTTGATCAGTCCACGACCGAACGACTTGTACACGCCTTCATCTCGTCTCGCTTTGATTACTGTAACGTATTCTTTTTGGTCTTCCAGGTTATCTCATTGAACGTCTCCAGAAACTTCAGAACACAGTCGCGAGACTTGTCGTCCGTTCTAAAACTCTGACCCGTCTAAAAAAACTCGTCATCGCTAATCACCACCGTAAGTACAGCAGTGGCAAAGCTCAACAGTATCCATGCATGACCCCGGAGCACAGCTCTAACCAGTTTGAATTAGTAAGGGTTGATTTGAGAGGAGGGAGGAAAAACCGGAGGACCAGAAAGACCCTCGTAGTCACTGAGAAAGAAAACCAACCAACTCAGCTCACACGGGGTGACTGAGATTCAAACTCCTGACCTCAGAGGTGAGAGGCGTTTTAACACCATGCCATCCTGACTACCCTTCTTAATCTATCTAATTCAGAAGAAGAAGCAGTAGAAGTGAAATAAAGTCAGGTCCATTTTAAGTGAGCGGTATCTTTTTAAAAGTAGGTTCTTTTAAAATGCGTTGATTTCTATTGATATTGTTTGTAAGATAACAGTTGACGTGATATTTTAAAGACCCCCCCAATTCGGACTGCACTCAGTAGACTTCAAAGTATCAATACTATTTCCAGTCCGAGGCGTAGCTGAAGCTGATTGCCGTGTATAGGCTGCAATTCTTAAGAATTGATTTCATTCTATGGCACAAAACTGATTAGAAATCAAAAATACAGTAATAGCATGTTTGTAGATTGGTTATCTGTGATCTCAGAAGTGCCGCATGGCGTCAATCCTGGGACTGATGGCTTTATTACTCGGGATTCCTGAAAAACCCAATATAAAAATTAAGCTGTTTCTCGCCTGTTGGCTTTCAACCTCGAAGCTTATCCTGAAAGCCTGCTGACCAAGATAAATGTCGGCTTCAAATCTATAAGATGAAGACTAATACCAACCTCGTCCCCAGGGTCCTCTCGGCAGACTCTAATTCGGCGTTTTACCCTGGTGTATCGCAAACGGTGACTGGTGACTTTAGATGACAAACTTTTCTATTAGTCTATTATCTCTCGACATTTGATTTAGTAAACATACAACATTTTCACAGTGATATTTGGTTTTTATTTTTTCGTCCACAAATAATATACAAATAAATGTATAATGCATAGCTAGTATTCCAAATATTTGGAATACTAGCTATACATTATACATTTATTTGTATATTATTTGTAAAACGACGGATCATGTATTTATGAGTGGCTTGGAATATTAATTTCCAGTGGCTGTGTGGCTTGCTGCTCGGCGCGTTATTTGTAGAACGACGAATCATGTATTTATATACAGTCAATGTCATTAACGTTGTCCACCGAAAAAAGACATTTACAGATCTACACATTAGTCATTTAGTCATTTAGACTAAAAGAAATATCACGCGTTTCCTCGAAAGTTCTGGCATAAAACAAACGCTGATCATGAAATACCATTCTCCATCTTAAATCCTCACTAAATGGTCGGGGCATTCTGGATTTTCGATTCACGAGTTGAATTTTACATTTAAAGTTCAGGCTGACGCACACGAGGCAAAGAATACATAATGAAACACGCAATATTTCTTTGAGTCTATATGTGTAAATGTGTAAATGTGTAAATGTGTAAATGTGTAAATGTGTGAATGTGTAAATGTCTTTTTTCGGTGGACAATGTTAATGACATTGACTGTATATTCTTTTATATTGTGTTTGTAAACAGTATCTTGTTTTGCTTTGTTTTGTTTTGCTTTTTGTTTTTGTTGTTTTTTGCATACTCAAACTATTCTAAATTCCTAGATGAGCGCTTGCGCAAACGTTTTTCTCTAGTGCCGCCCTGAGGTATTATAATCAAAGCCTATTTTCAGTTCCGATGACAAACAGTGTTCACGTCGATATTACACATTACCTCAACATGGCAAAAGTCACTTTGTGGCTTCAAGTATTGTATTCAAAACTCTCAAAAGGTTAAATGCATACATAACTAGTTTAGATCTGATTTTTGCTCTAAATCTCAGTTAAAATCAGCATTTCTCTTTTCGCCGGGCACTCATTTTGTTGCGATGATTACGTGATCAAAGGTTCCAGAAATCTTGGAGATTGCGATCATGTGATTCCAGCCAACATCAGGGCCCTCTTGCCCGACCGCCATATTGAATTGGATTCGGCCGAGAGGACACTGGGGACGAGGTTGGATAAACACAATACAGTACTTTCAGCTTAGTGTACTTTTCACCAAGTTTTCAAGTCATTTTACAAACCCACTCTCATTACGGTTAACTGATTTAGAGATAAAAGATACGTTAAACTTTTTATTTGATTCGAATGTCGAACAAAGTGAATTGATTCCGGTACGGCCGAGCATTCAGAGCTGAAAATATTCGAAAACAGTCAGAGTTACCCAATGATCTCTTTAAGAAATAGAGGATATTACATGGGCGCGCGGAGATACGAATTTTATCTTCAAGTGTTGAAAATCTCTAACTCGTTCGCTACGCTCACTCGTGAGAGATCTTTTCAACACTCGAAGATAAAATTCGTATCTCCGCGCGCCCATGTAATATCCTCTATATTATATAATTATCAATGAACTATGTTTTGGCTTTTTCAGGCACTTCTTTCCGTGTATTTTTGAATAGCCATCGCAATGGTATTATTTTCACACGTGAAAATAACATGTTATTTTATGTTATTTGTGTCTAGAGACACAAATCTTCTTGATTGTTCAGCCATCCTCACAAATATCTCCTAGCTCTTGATTAGATAAGTTTAATTTGAACTACGAACAATTACAATACACTGAAAGTATTTGAAAGCTGCTCGACAAAGCTAGCCGCGACGACCGCGAAAACACGATTCGCCTAGACAGTGGTTTGCGATTGGACCAAACGCTTTTTTTCACGCGTGACAAATCGTTTCGCTTCTCCGATTGGCTAAAAAAAGTCGCGAACTTGTTTTTCACACAGGGAAATTTGATAAGAAAATCTCAGTATGTATAAAATAATAGTTAATAGGTAATGAATGGGTAATTGGTAATGAATGGGTAATGAATGGGTAATGAATAAGTAATGGATAATGAATGGGCAATGGGTAATGAATGGGCAATGGGTAATGAATGGGCAATGGGTAATGAATGGGCAATGGGTAATGAATGGGCAATGGGCAATGAATTGGCAATGAATGGGTAATGAATGGGCAATGGGTAATGGGTGATGGGTAATGGGTATTCGGTATAATGGGTAACGGATAATGGTTAATGTGTAGTGGGTAATGAATGGGTAATGGGTAATGGGTATTGGGTAATGGATAATGGGTATTGGGTATTTGGTAATGGGTAGTGGTTAATGTGTAATGGGTAATGGTTATGTAATGTACTTTAATTGTAGATGTAATGCAAATAAGATAACAAAAGGAAAATGCTTAATTTTTATTAATATTTATAAATGTTCTATTTTCATTAATAAAGAAAGAACCCAAATTAAGAAATAAGAAATATCAATAAAACATTTACTAGGCAAACGTAATCCAACATTGAAAAAAAATAGCATGACCTGATGTATTGCAAACAGTATCTGAAAGTTATGAAGAAAATTAATCATGATTTTCTTCACTACTTCATAGAGATGACTTCGTCTGGGATTCAATGACACCCTTTTTAAGTAGATCGGTCACCTCATCCTGACCAAACCCGGCCTCTAAGAGAACCTCTATGGTATGCTGTCCTACGGAAGGCTGACGCCTTGGAGTGCAATTCCCCGGTGTTCTGGACAACTTAGGAGCAGGCGTAGGTTCATATTCATCTCCATTTTTCATAAATGTATTCCTTCGCTGATTGTGTGGATGAAGAGGTGCCTCATCTAGCGATAATACTGGCGCAAAACAAGCATCGGTACCTTTGAATATCTCACACCATTCGTCTCTTGTTTTAGTTGCAAACACCTTAGCAAAATTCTTCTTTTTTTCTGCCCAGGTTTTAAAGTTCAGTTGTTGCGAGAGATCATCTTCACGAATACCAAGGCCTGTGGGTGGGATGAAGAATTAATTACCAGTTACCACTCCATTTAGGCCATTGATCTGATACTCAACAAAACTATCCATCATACTATGCCCTCTTTCTCGCTAGTACGGAATGCACTATGGGCTACACACTCGATAAAGCGGTACGTTTTCGATCGCGTAAATAATCGCATGATGTAATGCATGAATCTTAGTGAAAGTGAGATGATCAGTTCAGAATGGCAAAATATCTGCAAAACGCGCCTCTTTCAATTACTCTTTCTTGAAGAGATGATTGTATGAGTATTAGTCATTACAATGCAAGGCAAACTATATACACTTTATCAAAGGCAATCAAGAGAAAATGAACTAAGAGAAGTAATCCCCGTGCCCCATCATGTGCACACTTTGATGCTATTTTTAGAATCAATGATGCTATTTCTAACTCGTTACCATACCCGCGCGATAATCATGCTTCCCTTTAATGCCTCGTTTTAGGACACGAAAAGCGCCATATTTCGCTACGTCCACGACAAAAACACAGGCTTTTGTTTACTGCAAGACTGGAAGCCGCCTGCCCTAAAGAAATCAACCAATTAGGTTCTTCACTCAAAATATCTCCAAGCTAAAAATAGCATCAAACTGTGCACATGATGGTTACAAGGCTATATAGGTAGGATTCCTTCTCTTAGTTCTTATTCTCTTGATGGCAATCCTATATTGTTAACACTTAGGGCAGGGATTTTTAACTGATCTCTTACCTTCTAGTAGGACTTTATAGAATTTTGGCTCAATTGCACCAACAGAGACAAACTTGCCATCCAGTGTTTGATAAGTATCATAAAAATGTGCCCCAGTGTCCAGGAGATTCCCCCCTCGTTCTGCTGGCCAAATGTCACGTGACTTGTACACAAACGAACCTATGTAAGCTGCCCCATCAATCTGAGAAAAAGCATTCAAAGAATTGTTAGCATGGGCTGTTTCATTATTTATCATGTATTTGGAACTAACAACATTTTTTTCACTAGATAGCCTCTTACTTGAAAACACAACAAAATGTTTTACAAGCCAACTCTGAATATGTACTGTATTTAATTAGCTATTGATTATACAGTAGTTGTGTAATTGATGTTGAACTAGCCTACTAACTGACCACAACTTCTAAAACAACATTTGGTGAATCTTTTCATGGACAGGTTCTATTTTTGAGTAATTTAACCTTTAGTTTATCAAGCTGAAAACCTGGAAATAGAAAATATTGGGCAAAACATTTTTCTCTGGTTGGCAAAATTCTTTCAGGCTGAGAAAACAGAAATCACATGGAAATGATATAGGATAAATAAAGTGGGAGCTAGTGATTTATTTAGAAATATGAAACATGTATTTTTCATACGAACTACATCTGGGTCCTCAGTGACTTATTCTCTGATCCTCAGACATGAATATATCAATGGCATCATTTCCTAATGTTTTCCCACTCACTTTAACACAAGTTGCAACAAGTTTTTGAATGAAATATTTTCACCACTCCAAGATGAACTTCATATCTTCACCCCACCATGTAATATCCTCTATTATTTGTCTGCCTAAACTGACAAAAAAAAAAAAAGCATTTTCTACTTACCATTGCAGAATCAATGACTTGACCTTGTCCTGAGTTATTTCTCTCTAATAATGCTATAAGTATGCCCATCACACACATTAAACCACCACCAGCAAAATCCCCAAGTAAATTGAGAGGAGGCATAAGATTAGAATCTTTACGTCCTAGCATTGACAGCATGCCAGAAATTGCTATGTAGTTTATATCATGTCCTGCTTGAGAAGCCATTGGACCATCTTGACCAAAGCCTAGAACATAAAATGTGCATAAAGAATGAAGAGAAAAAGGTTAATTTATGCAAGACTGACTGGTTAGTGTACTAAGATAAGGTCTAGGCTAGCGTATTTAATATCCTGTAACACTGTATCAGCTAGTATACCTACCTGTAGCTGTGCTGACCGCAATGTGCACAGATGAGCACCATTTTAAGAAGTACAGTACTTAACAAATATTCACCAAGGTGAAGTGAATATCGGGGAATATTTACTGAGACATGAGTCTTTGAGCAGCGAGGTAAATATTTAGATCTTATTAACCTAGCGGGGGGTCTGTAAGGATAATCTTGACCGAGGTCTGTACCGGACCGAGGTCAAGATTATCCCGTACAGACCGACCAAGCTCGGTTGATAAGAGTTTTATTATATGACCACTTTTCATTGAAAAGGACAAAATGTTTTCGCCGTAAGATTAATATGCGATCGAACTGGTTAATACCGGAGAATCTAGACCAGTCCACGATGCGATCTATCCAATCAGATTGCTCGATTTGCTAATGTCCAGGCTCTAAGATTCACGGTCATATAATAATCCCCGATATTCACTGAGCCTGAGGCAAATAATCATTTTAGTATTTTTAACACAAGTGAATATAATAAATAATGGAGAAGTATTTTTTATGTTCAAATTCTATTCATCCCTGCAAGCAGCACAAATTGACAATTGAACATGCGCATGAGTGCGTTATGTTCACCTCTAGGTTAATATTGCAGCAGATATATTGTGACCAATGATCGTGCCAGATTTATTATATTCACTTCTGTAAAAATACTAAATACTTTCATTAACTGATCCAGGCACAATGATAATATAACTTTTCTATACAGGTGAGAAATCTTAATCTTGGCAAAATATTCAACTTCATTCTGTACTGTGAGATGATTAGTATCAAAATCAAAAGATTAAAAGGTTTAATAAGCAATTGGTTTAGTATTAGTTTGACTATAGCATGTAGTAGCTCTTGGAATCATAAAAATAGCCAGTAACGTACAACTGAATGGTAACTCAAATGTTAAACTTATGGTAAGCAAATGACTGTAACACCCGGGAGGGCGGTGGTACTCCACCAGCATTTTGGTAGGGGTGTTCCGCTGGGATTCTAAAAGGGGTACCCTGTTTATGACAAAAAAACTCAAATTTGTAGACCCTGTTTATGACAAAAGATGTAATTAATTGCACTGAGTTCCTGTTTCAATTATCATGTCATCTTGCATATCGTTTTTTTTACGACCATAATAACCAGTTTCGGTCAATACAAAAGGAGAAACCCTGAATATGACAGGAAACTCAGGAAAAAAATTAGAACTTGAGTGAAATTGCATACCCTGTTTATGACAAAAAGCTTGAAAAACCATACCCTGTTCAGCGGATCATCCCCGTATAGTCCATATATGGGAGTACCCCCCGGGCTGTAACACCTCAGGACTTTGTTTTTTGGCCCATAGATTATTTGACGTTACTGTGACCAAAAAGTTTGGACATTGTCATTTGTCATACAAATGTACTGAAACTCTTTCATAGTTTATCAACTTCATTTGACTTGAGTCCTTGATGCTTATCATATGTAGCTATATTGTAATATAGTGTTTCATCCTTGTTTAAAATAACTGTTCAGAAAAAATAAAGATTTGAGTAATCTGAATATTATATAAATCAAGTTGATAAACTGTACATTTGTATGACAATTTGATAATAATGCCCAAACTTGTACAACATGTGCAGTATAGGGGTCAATACTCCATTTTACAGTTCAATTCAGTGACCATGAATAATAGTTCCTAGCCGAGGCTGGAGTTTACGTGCATGATAAAATGTAGTTTTGCTATGTGTGGAAACTCCATGCAGCCTCTGCTAGGAACCATTATTTGTGGTCACTGAATGGAACTGTAAAATGGAGTATTGGTGAATTTCATCAAGCTGCAGAATACCTAGCCTGCGCTTACGAGTAAACTTTCAGAGGCACGCAGGCTACAGAATACCAGGCAAACATGTTTATGCATAATAATTATTTTGAGTAGTTTGTAGCTAATGCTTGGTTATCACAATATTTAAAAAAAAAGCCAATCTGAGTGGTACACTCTTTATGCTTAATAGATGTTATTAGAAGATATATTACAGTGATGGGATCCCTGTGTACCTTTTACAAACACCGGGCACAACCCATACCACAGGCAGCCCAATCTCTTGTTCTGTGGTGTTGTTGTATTTGAATGTTAACGGTAATATTTCGCAGTGTGTAAAATTAGTACCTTTAAGAATAAAAACGACTTTCCTTGATAGCTTGTTGTAAATTTGATGTTTTGCTGATTTTGAAGCCAGTTTGGTGCATTTTTATGGAGTTATTGTAAAAACACAACAGAACAAGAGATTGGGCTGCCTGTGCCCATACAAGTTTTACAGTTTTGAGTTTTGCTCATCAAGATCTTTCACATTTATTCAACAAAATTTTTATTAAAGAAATATGTAAAGTTAAAGTGTAAAGTTAAATTTTTCATAACATGTTGATGACATCATTTTTCCACCAAAAAAGAAGATATCCCAAAATGTAACAAGATATGATTTCTGAGAATATTTTCTTCTTCCTTTTGGCCAAGTTTAATCATATTTGGTTTAGAACTAGAAAAGTTATATATCACCTGTATAGAAAAGTTATATTATCATTGTGCCTGGATCAGTTAATGAAAGTATTTAGTATTTTTACAGAAGTGAATATAATAAATCTGGCACGATCATTGGTCACAATATATCTGCTGCAATATTAACCTAGAGGTGAACATAACGCACTCATGCGCATGTTCAATTGTCAATTTGTGCTGCTTGCAGGGATGAATAGAATTTGAACATAAAAAATACTTCTCCATTATTTATTATATTCACTTGTGTTAAAAATACTAAAATGATTATTTGCCTCAGGCTCAGTGAATATCGGGGATTATTATATGACCGTGAATCTTAGAGCCTGGACATTAGCAAATCGAGCAATCTGATTGGATAGATCGCATCGCGGACTGGTCTAGATTCTCCGGTATTAACCAGTTCGATTGCATATTAATCTTACGGCGAAAACATTTTGTCCTTTTCAATGAAAAGTGGTCATATAATAAAACTCTTATCAACCGAGCTTGGTCGGTCTGTACGGGATAATCTTGACCTCGGTCCGGTACAGACCTCGGTCAAGATTATCCTTACAGACCCCCCGCTAGGTTAATAAGATCTAAATATTTACCTCGCTGCTCAAAGACTCATGTCTCAGTAAATATTCCCCGATATTCACTTCACCTTGGTGAATATTTGTTAAGTACTGTACTTCTTAAAATGGTGCTCATCTGTGTACATTGTGGTCAGCACAGCTACAGGTAGGTATACTAGCTGATACAGTGTTACAGGATATTAAATACGCTAGCCTAGACCTTATCTTAGTACACTAACCAGTCAGTCTTGCATAAATTAACCTTGGATTTTCTTTCATCAGTGTTTTTGGTCCAAGTCCTAGTTGTTCCATGACACCAGGTCGAAAAGGCTCTATCATTACATCAGTCTTGGAGCACAACCTTAAATTATCAAAACAAACATTTGATGAGGTAAAAAAAGAATGAGTCTGAAATATGTCTCATAATGACAGAACAGCATTATATACAATGTGATTTCCATTCTCATTTAACCCAATCTCATATGGAAAGTTCCATTTTTAGCAGATAATGAGGGATTTTATCAGCTGATTGAAACCCATTAATTTTGTATCCATTCACCTAGCTACCCCTCCCACCCTCAGCTATACAAACACACATAACCCACCACCATTACTATTACTATGTACTCCTTAGCCTGGTAGTGACCCAAATTGGGGGGAGGGGGAAGGGGTGGTGGCCCTGTGGGGGGGGGGACGTGGGCCCTTGGATATTTGACAAGTTGCTACATGTGATATCACTGGACAACTGTCACCCTCAGCTATACAAACACACATAACCCACCACCATTACTATTACTATGTACTCCTTAGCCTGGTAGTGACCCAAATGGGGGGGAGGGGGAAGGGGTGGGGGGCTTGTGGAGTAGGGGACGTGGGCCCTTGGATATTTGACAAGTTGCTACATGTGATATCACTGGACAACTGTCACCACAACATTTCATGCAACAGTTGCACCGTTTGTCCCACCACCTGTGAAATGGAAGCTGTTCTTTAAATTAGAAGTGGAGTTGTGCATAAGAGCATTGCACAGGTTGCAAATTTGTTAGGCTAAAATCCATGAGGCTGTATGACTCTATTCAGGAGCATTGATTCTTAAAAAAATGGTTGGGACTTCAAATGAACTATCCTAGAAAAATCAACTTCAACCCTCTCTTTTCAAAGGAATCAATATTATGACCCTACCCATTGTTTGTCTGTCTTTTCTTTGGTCACAGAACTTTGGATTGAATGAAGATAATGATGACCTTCCCTTTTTGGCTGTGTAAAAATTATACTTGATGGTCCCTCCCACAATCCCTCAGGCTCTCCCCCTGCCCCATGCATTCTAATAAATAAATAAATGCTCCTTTAGAAATATTTTACCATTCAAGACTGGTAATCTATCACTATTTTCAATTCTATCCCAGCCGTTTCTTCTTGATGGTTACAAGTTTGATCTCCGAGTGTATGTCTTGGTGACRTCATGTGACCCTCTTCGAATATTTGTCTACAATGATGGCTTGGTAAGATATTATCATGTGTTTTCATTCCGCGAGCTTTTTTAGCGTGTCTTCATGACAACATACAAGGCATTTTGAAACAACAAGGCAGTTTGATTATTGACTTAGCATTACATGAGAGTAGAGTTTGTTTGANGGGGGGGGGGAGGGGGGAGAGCCTCTTTTCCCGCCCCAGTCTTCAATGCGCCGCTACACAGGCTATGTACTCCTTGAAGCAATCTCCAAAATATGCAGCTCAATTCAGTGGATAATTTAGGATATTTTAAAAGGGGTCTATGCTATGTTCACTCCGGCTATTAAACACCACCAACATGAACCTCTGAAGAATTCATTTAAATAATGAATGTACTGACAAATCTATTAACAAACCTGCGAAAAGTTTCCACTCCTCTGGGGCTTTTCAAATCAAGAGCTATCGATCGCTTCCCTCTTGCTAGTCTGTCTAGTGTCATAAAAGACTTTACTTTATCTACTCTAGTAACAGTTGCTCCAAAATCTGCTAGAATCATCCCTGCAAACGGAGCTGGAGCGAGTCCTGCCAATTCCAAGACGCGAACCCCCGATAAGGCAGCCATCTTATCCATAAATAACACAGGAAGCCCAACTGAGTCTGTGTGTAGTTAAAGCTGCACTGCCTGCTCTAGGCGACTCGGGTTATTTTTAAAATCAAATTTTCACTAAATTTGGGAAGGTAATGCCTTCATGATAACCGTCACAAAATTAAGATTTTTTGGAGTGTTTGAACAGAGATTTTGTTTAGCGGCAAATTATTCCAGGTTAAATCGGATACCAAAGGAAAACAAAGGCGTGCGCGAAAACATGTTCCATACCATGCCAGTGTTCCAGTGCATTTTATATATTGATTTTTTCACTCTTCCGTATTACGGCGGACGTTATCTTGACCTCCAATAACAGGGAGCCCGATTCAGATTAATTTGAATGGTGAAAATAAAATCTCTATGTTCGACATTCTTAATTTCGCTTTTTTGGTTGGTTTTACTTGAAAAATGACTAAGACAACATAATATCAGGTTTAGTGAAATGCAATGGATGTCTTTCATTTAACTTAAAATTTTGGAGATTTCCGTGTTCTTTTTCAGGTCAAAACTTTATCATCATGAAAGCTGGTAAGCAAAAATCAATGCTTAATCTTTATGCTTTTCGTTTCAGAAGTTCTGAATGTGAATGAAAACTATAAAAAGATATAACTAGCTAAAAATAGTGTGAGCTGCGTCGGTGTTTCTAATGAAACAGTAATGATGAAAACTATAATGAGTTAATGAGTTAATGAATAAATTATCAGTTGAGCTAACACCAGTTTGGTTTCGTTGTTTATAGTGCCTGGCAAGAAAAAAAAAAAAGATTCAATAAAAAGGATGGTGGAAGGTTTTTCAAGAACAAAACTAGCCCTGTGGAGTGGCTGGTGGTGGGTAGTGTACGCGTTACAAAAATTCTGTGCGGGAGAGTAGTAAGGACGAAATTCGTTCTCGCCCGAGTCCTACGCAAGTAAGAACCTTGACATAATATGGAAGAACATTTTCTGTAAGGAAAAAACTTTCTGCACGGAAATTTCGGTCATAGAAATAGGAAAAAGGAAGAACCAAAAGAGCTTTTACAAATGAATCCCCCATTTACTTTCTCTGATTCTCCTTAATCTAAATTGGGCTCCCTGTGCTCGAATTAAAACAAATTTATTCAAGGTTTCACATTTATCTAAATTTGGCTCCCTGTAGTTTTGCTAATGATCTTTATTTTAAAGTACAGTTTCGCATGTGGTTCGGTGTGCCGTCTAGTTTCCGGTTTTCGGTCATAAGGTTTATTGCAAACAAAAACATAAAGTTTTATACGTTAGTCTATCACGGAACTAGTTGCTGCAAGCGAGCGTAATATAGCGAGTAGCGATTCTCATCTTGCAGGTGCGGTCCCCATGTGGAATCCATAATCAACCGTGCTGAACGAAGATCTTCCATCTTAGGACTTCGAAAAGGATGGTTTTGATTCGAGGTACGTGATTTGCGAAGCCTTGGTACTAGTGGTCTGCGGCGGTGGCTTTGTACCTTTGTATATATCTTCAGGTTTTTTGTGCGCGCGCCGTCCTCCTTGGCATCCCCGTTCTCGCGAGAAAGTAGTATCCCCCTCTGAATCCCAACCCAAAGGTTATAGAGGGCAGTTACGCAGGCTAGAAAACGTGAATGTCCTTGATCCCAAATACTGTTCAAACACAAACAAACGCCGAGAAAAACTGTGATCGTAGTGGTAGAGCCCCCAACGAGGTAAATCAGAATCACAGCCTGAATACTAAATGCAATTGCATTGCACGCTACTCGCAAAATTTCACTCTAAACCGCTAGTTCTATATTTCTATCCAAGAGCCCGTTCACACGTATTCGTTTTTGCATGAAGACGCTTTTTTTACGCAATTTCTTGGCGGATTGGCCTTCGTCGACACGCATTCTGCAAATACGGTCAACAGCAATGATTATTCTAAGACCCCGTCCACACGTATCCGTTTTTGCATGAAAAAGCAACTTTTTATTGCTGATTGGTCTTCCGTGTATTCGGCGAATACGGTCATCGAAAGCGGAAGTTTTTGAAAACGCTGACGTCATAGTATTGGAACCAGTCTCAGACCGCGTCATATTTTTGATAAGCGCATGCTCTATAGCCTGGTTTTCACTTGAGTCGGAGTCGGAATCGGAGTAGGAATCACAGTCATAAACCAGTTATGCACCGATTGTCATAAGCGGAATCGGAAGCAGAAGCCTCGATTTCATGTACATATATTTTTCATATCCGATTCAAGATGGCGGACCGAAAACCGGCTATGGCGCTACTCATGCATGGTTACCATCATTATGCGAAGAAGACGGCGTTTGAGGTAAAAAAAAACCCTAACGTTTCTGAGTTAGAGAAATTTTCAAAAATCGTCAGGAGAATATCCTTGGTTGTTCGCTTCGGCTTCCGGTTCTGCTTCCGCTTAGTCTGATTTTCACTTATCGTAAGGGCCAGAGTCTGGATCGGAATTGGAAGAAAATGGAAACCTTCAGATTCTTCCGATTCCGATTCTGACGCACTTACGACTCCGATCCCGACTCCGCTTTCTGGTTTTCACTTCCGCGTAAGGTGCTTATGACTGCGATTCAGACTCCGCTTCCGACGCTTAACCAGGCTCGAATTTTGCGTGCAAGCTTGGGCGGGTAAAAACCATATGAAAACAGTACATGTGGAAGGGGAAACGATTGACAACGGATTAAAAAGTTTTCGCTTTCCTGCAAAAAAGGATACGTGTGGAAAAGGTCCAAGTGTAGCTGCTTGATTCTTTGTGTTGGAAGCCGAAGTTTTAACTAAGTTTGTTGACTGGTCTCCAAGTTCCAAGCCTGAATTCTAGTAACAATTATATTAATAAAGGCATAGACAGCCAGTCCCAAATCGAGTGCGCGCGCGAGCTAATCGTCCGATCTGCGCCGGCCACCCGTTCGGCTGTTCAGAATTTAATAGTCGTCCCTTCTATTTATCATAATGTACAAAGGAAGTACCGAATTCCTCCCCCCCCCCCCCCCAAAGCAACACATGAAAGCAACACATGAAACAAAAAGACATTGAGTCAGTCTCAATACTGTTTATAAGTTTGACAAATTAACTGAGTAATGTAGCGTCATCAATCGATTATGTTTAATTAGCAAGAGAACAACATCAAAAATAAAAACACTGAAAAATGGGAAATACATGCGGTGTGTCAACAAAGTCAAAGAGAACAAAGAGGAGTGGAAAACTAGACCAAGATCATATGTTGCTGACCTGGTGTTCGAATCCTGCGTTGAAGTCAACGAGACCGACAGAAAACAACAAGAAAAAGAGGAAGAAGAAAGCAAATAAATATAAATACATTGTACCCGAGACAATCACGACAAATAAGAAGCACGAGGGAAGTAAAGAAAAGAAGCGGAATGAATCCAAAACCTGCTCCGAATGGTTCTTTTCTTGTGTTTCAAGAGAAACAATCGCAACGCATTCTAGTTGTTATGGCAACCTCGAAAACGAGACAGACTTCTCAGCGTTCCCGTACAATACGAGATTCCGCCATTCTCTCGACTCTCAACAAAGTTTAAATGGTTGTTTCTCTAGAATCTCTAGCTCTTTTCCCGAATCTGCGTTTGAAAGTTCTAGCGAGTTCCCAGCTTCTTCTATATCGCGGACGTCAAATATTACATCTAGTGCAAGCACCTCGCTTGCTAGTATGGTTGCGCAGATTAATACTGAAGATAAAACAAAGTGTAATACCATCCTTGATGGACATTCCGAACAAGCTTCAAGAATTCACCACCCTATACAACCTCAAGAATCCAGCTTAACACTAGAAAGCCATAACAAAACTGGTTTCCATCAATGGGCTTTGTCCAATTTTAGCGCTTACAGATTTTCCGAGGAATGCAGTCCAATATTCCTTGCTTCAAGATCAGATAGCATCATAGAAACCGTGGTGCGGCGAGCGCGTCGATATAGATTGCTCATTCCAACATGGGTGTGATACATTCACCCCGACTTGGTAGATTGAGCACGAGGCATGGATAGATATTATAATACCTAGAGACAATAGACCCTTTTCGAGTTCCAAATTACCGCTGTGTTCCTTGATTACAGACTCATTTACTCAGGCTTAGCCTCGATTTTGTGTAGAATATTCACGTGTTCCAGTCAAGGTCCGTCGAATTTCAAAGTGTTTGTATTGTTGTAGTTGTGCATTCTTTCCTTTACCGTTGAACCGTTGGTATTTGTGAATATTAAAACACTGATGCGATGCTAAGCCTGAGTAAATGAGTCTGTAATYAAGAAACACAGCGGTAATTTGTAACTCGAAAAGGGTCTATTAGCTATAAGTAATTTAAAATCCAAAAAATCTAATGATACTACGTTGTATTGCTTTTTATTCAAAATACTATAATCTTATTTCAAAAATATTAAAGTCTAAATTAAAAATAAAAATTCGCATGCCGTAAAATTTATTGTTGTAAAAATTAATTTTGTCTATGATGATATGGATAATTAATAGCGCAGCGCACTGATTCTAAAACATTGCATTCTGTTTAACCGCTACGAGGATTATACGAACCGATTTTAWTATTTTTACTTAAAGTTACAATAATAACCCATGTAAACTAAGATCAACTGCGATCGGCTGTGAAAATTATTTGCTGAAAGTAAACTTGTAAGTTTGTTTGTCCGAATTTCGCCTTCGTCTTCGTTTTTATGACGTCACGACTGCGCTGCGCTATTATGATACTATACCAGCTGGGCTACCTTTGTTTCATGTATGTAGCAGAATCGCGTGGAGCAGTTAGTTAAAATTGAAATATAAATTTTCATAGAATAACCACTCAGTATGAAGCGTGATGCAAACTGGAATTTTTCCATTCTATAGTTAACTTGTTCTCAATAACATGGATACCTAAATCGTATAACAAAGCGCTAGCGTTTCCATGCCATTTTCGGAGGCTCTTGTCGGGTTATGTGATTCTTAATTATAATTACAGCGTCATTGACTTCTATCAAGATCTATCCGCAGCATTATCGGGTTGACCATCCCACACGTGTTATTGAGAACGAGAGTACATGACAGTAGTATGAGATCCTTTTGCTCAGGTCTGGATTTCTCAGTTGGCACTAGCTTCATCATGGAAAGTTCAAGATTTAGTCAATGGGGCTTCCCCAAACAGATTTTGGTGTCACAGCCTCCAAACCTATGAGTGATATTCAGTGCTATTGGCCTTTAAGTGCACTAATTTCTTTCTGTGGAGTAAAAAGAGCAGCATGAGAATTACGTTCAACTTAGATACCTAGATAAAAATTAATAAGATATGCTGATTTGCACGCCCAGTCGCTGTTTTAAAATCTTCAGCGTATGCGCGAAATGGATTTTATCTTCTTAATAACATGAGCTTGATTTCCTGACACAGAGGCTGTTTGTAAGGTGAAAAAACAGTAGCTAATAGTTCGTTATTGCCACTTTGTTTGGGCTAAACTAAATTCAATAAACATCGTTGTCGGGTGGTTGAAACGTTTTACTCATTGAAGCTGAGACCGAGGGGTATTCTGGGTAGTTGATATCCTGGGCATTTTGGAGAGTGTTTGCATACAGACATAGAGCAGTTTTCGTATGACTGTGAAAAGCTCAGTGCCGTGGGCGTGACGTGCCGTGACCGTAATACTTTCTAGAATTTTAATTGGCTGATTTTTTTCTCGCGCAATATGATTGGTCTAAAAGTGCAGTGATCTTGGCGTGACCGTGTCCGCGCCGTGTTTATGCCGTGGTATTTGATTGGATGGAGAGTAAATTCTCGTGCAATGTGATTTGTCTGGCGTATCCCTTGCTGTGTCACGACCGTGTTCGTGGCGTGAACTTTTCACAGTCATACGAAAACCGCACTATGCATGAAGAGTTACAAAATACTTTGTTCGGTAACTTGAATCTATGTTGAGAGCTGCAAAACTTCAATGTACATAATATGAGCCCTTTAACTGTTTACCCATCACACCCGTCGACCTTAGGTTCGATGATTTAATCTTCAGTGTACTAAGTGATACCTCAAGTTCTGCGTTTCTCGTTTTTATTTTAATAATCTCTTCTTTCAGTTCATCATTTTCAGCAGTCAGCTGTTCAATCTTCTTCTCTGCTTGAATCTTGACAGACATTACAATCCCTGCAAAGGAACAGTTAGTACGTGTTGTTGGTGCAAGCTCTTTATTTCATTCTAATTCTCCAGGGATAAGGTCAAAACATATACAATTGCCATCTCGATCAAGGGACCTGAATTAGAGGGAGTAGTGGTGGGGGAAACCGGTACCTAACTGCCAACCAGGTGAAACCCTGGATTTTGTTCAGAAAAATATTTCCATTTTTGTATGCTTGCTAATCAAAGTCAGTATTTGCCTTTAGAAATGGCCACTAAGGGATCCCAGTATCGAGTATGTCTCTGAAGGGAAGGCGGTAAGTACTCGGGTGCCTATTACCTAAATCTTCAATAGCTGAGAATATAAGCAAATAATATAATCTAATTTTGCCTACCATTCACAATTCTCGTAACACGCCACAGACGAAGAATAACTAAAAGGCTTGCTCCTTCTGCAGCAGATTCAGATCCACTAAACGAGAATTCAAAACAGTATTAGTAAAAGAAGAGATACGATGTACCAGACTCTGATATTCCTCAATAGTTTGAAGCAGCGTGTTCGTTTAGGCAATCCGAATTCTTCAGCGATTTATTTGCTAGTTTAGTTTTACCTGAAGGCGATGTCCAGGGCGAATGATACAACGACTACGATACCATCAAAAACCTAGAATAGGAACGCGTAAAGAAACTTGTAAACTTAAACAGTCTTCCAAAATACATTTAATTAACAGGCAAGTGTTTTAGTATGTCGATGACAATATCTTTATTAGTACTCACTAGCTACAATGGTCTTCCCACTGAGAATTATTTCTGCATTGGGATATTGGCATTCCTTGAAAGTTATCTTTTTGGTTGGTTTCGACTGGGATCAATTCCAGGGCATGCCGTTATAATTTGAAGGTTTTGCTCTGGGCTCTCCCATTGCCGGTCTCCCTCCCTCCGTAATTAAAGTCTGTGCCATTCATGTTCTAACTTCCAGTTTGTCGGATCGTTACGCAGCAGTCTTTCCGTCTGGAATGGAGCTTCAACTTGTTGTGGCTTTGCACGCGCGCGACACAACAACGAAAGCCAATCAAAAGTAGATATATTCCATAAATAAAAGGAAAGAACAAAGAAAAAAGGGTAAAAGCGTTGCAAGGTCTATATATTAGACACGGAATCCAGGCTATCTTACCTCCATTTTATGCCTCAAAAAGTCCAAGCCCATCGCGTACATTTTAAGGATCAGCTAAAAGAAATGAAAGGCGCGAAATCCTGCATTAGAGGCTGAACACTTCTATCTTTAGCTACATTTTGCCCCTTTTCTTTGACAAAATAAAAGCTTTAGCAAGTTTAATAGCTATTACTTCAGAAATAGCTTACCTCAATCAAGAAGATACTTAGAATTGCTATACTTATGTAATGAAGAATGTGGGGAGCTGGGTTGTCGTGATGAACTAAAACAAAAATACAGAACACACCATATCAATATTGAATTTCTCTAGAAAACGAGTGCACTGATTATTTTTGCAAGTGATCTCGACAGAGTGGTGCGAGTGGTCGACGTGTTTCCCTTGCAGGAATTAGATTTGGCACCAAGAAATGTAGCCTTATTGGCTGGTTGGCTGCTTTACCCACTGAACGTGAAAAATCCCGAAAATTTTAGGGAGAGAGTCCTCAGTCCGGCAAGGAAATAAAGGCAGACAGAGGAAGGAGTCGACATTAGACACTAGGGCCTGCTGGCTGACAACTGTTTCTTATCATGCATTCCAAATATACCTTTAAGAATCTGAAGATCAACAATAAGCTCAGCAATAACAATTATACAGTCCAATACGACTAGTCCAACCACAGTATACTGGGCCTTTTGGCTGTGCAGCAACTCTCGAAGCTTTGCTCTGTTATCTTTCCACCTAAAGGGTAAAAAAAAATATGTCCCTTTATCAATAATTATGCATAAAATACCTATATTTCTCCTTTTTGAAAAACTGATATTTTCACATGTGAAAATAACATGTTATTTTATATATAGTTTATAAATAAAAACTTTTCATAATAATAAAAAGCTTGTTAAGTTGATTTTATGGATAAATATATAATAAAAAGAATATTACATGGGCGCTTGGAGATAGGAAATTTATCTTCTCATGTTGAAAATCTCTCACTCGTTTGCTGCGCTCACTTGTGAGAGATCTTTTCAACACTCAAAGATAAATTTCGTATCTCCGCGCGCCCATGTAATATCCTCTATATACCAAATAGAGTGCACTCCATATATCCTTGAAACAAAACTAAAGATGTAATGTCTAGTTGCAGCTATTTTGATATCCCACAGGTAGCCCAAGCTAGGTTTTTGTGGTATCACAGTTCTCTTAGCTTCTCTCTTAACGGTGGAGGCAAAAAATGTGTAAAAACTAGCAGGGTGAAAGAGGTAATACTTTTCAAAAGTCAGCTAAGATTTCTTTACTTTATTTCTCTCTATAAGATTTCTTTATTTTATTTCAAATTTTGATGATTTTATTGACATTTTTAAGGATTGCTATGCATTATCTTATGATTCACCATTTTCCATACATTGGTTCACTGGTCAAACACAAAGCATTCAGTCAAGGTTGCAAGGTTCAATTTTGAATAATCCTTTGAAAGTACCTTGGCGCCTCGCTTGAGCGCTTTGTGTGTTGACCAGTGAACTGATGTATGGAAAATGGTGAATATGACACCGCAGAAACCTAGCTTCGGCTAGATTGAAAACAAAAGCAAATATACCTCTGAGCATCATCAAAGGTTCATTAGATATGATGATGCAGGTATGATAATATAAAGGGGGACAGCTATTTTTTTTTTGACAGATGTAGAAGGAGTGTGGGCTTTAAAGTTGGGGATGGTAAGTAAAGGGAGGCCTGGTTATATTTTTTAACTACACATTGGGAAGGACCAAAATTGACACGTTTAAAAACTGGGGGCTCTGAAAATTTCATATTGTAAAATTTGACACCTTCATGGCCCCCTCATCAGATTAAATGAATATTCCCTAAATAGCTAGTAATTCGTTGTTTCAAGGATATATGACATGCACTCTGATCCTTTCAATAAATTCTGATCCAATCTTAATCCCATCTTCGATTATAATAATTGCAGAGGAAGGGGTAGAATATCGTGACAAAGGAGCACCCCTCCCCTACCCCCCTCCCTAAAGGAGCATGAACAGTGTTTCTCAATAAGAATGCTACGTTTGTCAAAATAAACAAGACGAAAGAAAACATTCAATTCCACCATAAGTCAACTTTGAAAATCAAATCATTCGACTCTAGGGTAATGGATCTAAGTTGGACATATAATAAACTACTTTGGAGCTCACGAAAGGAGCACCTTAGAGTAGACTAAGATACTGTACTAAATGCCGTTCAAATCATAAAGCGCTTATAATATCCCGATCACAAATTCATATCTTTGCTAACATCAAATCTTTGTAATAACATAATGAATACGAATCAATAGAAATCACAAATCATGCTGTAACAAACAACACCAATTCCTTCTCCTCACCCCGTACCATGGTGTGGATGGTACGACTTCCAGATTCGAATCCCCAGCGCCTCCAACTTCCATTTCTGCAGTATCAGTCGAGAGCTCGTCGAACGAAAGCCGTCCTACCAACTGCTGATCGTCAGGGTCCATGTCACAAGTCCCAACGAATCAAAAGCTATAATGGTAAAATATTGATCAGTCAACCAAAATGATGCGCCAAGACAGACTCCATGCGGGATGTTTGTTTTCAGTACGACATCAAGCAGGCGTTGCTTGCTTTATGATGATGGGCTCCCTGTGTTTTGATGTAAGGAAGCAAACATGGCGTATTCCTTGTCGGGGCTCGGGCGGTGAAAGTTCGTGATCAAAGCATCTCTTATTTGACCTGGATTAAATTGGAAAAAAAGGCTTTCTTGTTTAAAATTAGTGACGAGGATGGCAACACTTGAAGATTTCGAGGTACTTTTAAGTTATGTCTGATAATTAATGCTTAAAAAAGGGTTAAATCTCAGCATTGGGCCAAAGAAGACAGTTCAACCATACGAAGAAAATAATGCAAAATATATTGAATATAGAGCGGAACATATATGTTGCGTTGAACTATAAGTATTTGCAAAGATTTTGCAGAAAAATAGGAAAATTTTATTGCACCTTTTTTGATTATCTCCAGTCAAAGATTTTTATTTCAGGGCCTCAAGATAAGAAATCATGGTTGTTAGTTTGAAGGTCTGGAAGTAAAATGAGATACAGTGTATGTTTGATCTTATTGATAGAAAATATGTCATCTCAATTCAAGAGCCCAAAGTTTATTAAAAAAATTTCTTATCATTTTCTTGAAATAACAGGCGTAAATGCATTTCTTGATTCAGTTTCCTTTGCTTTAAAATGATGAATCTCAGTTGTACTGAACCAGATTTACTAAATTCAAGAATTTATTCAAATTCATGTTTATAAGGTCTTTTATACAAATGTGAGAATGTTCTTAATATAAACTGAAGTATACGGCTTTCGCTAGCTTACATTTCATTTTGTTCTCTTGATGTAAAACAAACCTACTCTTTTGCGTAGGAAGCATTTGACAGCTATGAATATGTGGAACGTTTGGCAAGTACTGTAGATGGTGGTGGAAGCAAGGGAGGTGCAGAAGCCTTCAATCCAATCAACTTGTCACAGGTGTTTCAAAGAACCATACAAGAACTATGTGCTCTGGATGAAAAAATGCAAGGACGCATTAACAAGTTAGAAGAATTGTGCATCAAGGAGCAAGAAGAACACAAACAAAGAGCCATAGATTTGGAATCATCCTATAAGGTAGATTTAGAGAATGGCATGGGATACATAATTTTAGTTTGAGCATGATCTTGTGTTTTACTGGTACTAGAATACATTATAGTGAATGTATATTGAACATATAATGCTCATATAGACCCCTTGCAGCACGTCGGAATGTAACTCAATTTGGAGGACATTATCATAGGTTTTTGCTTTTTTCCCTCCAAATTTATCTGCTTTTGACGCCGCATGCAATGGGTCTATTACCAATTGAAATCAGCAATCTTGTTTACAATGATATATGCTAATTAATTGTAATAGCCCAGGAAAGACCAGAGTAGGTTGCAGATGGGATGCTGGTTTTCAATAATTCCCAAGAGAGTGAAATAACAAAAGACACGGCGGCCATGTTGGATGACATAACAAAAAAGACTACTGATGAATCTTTTGTTTTATTCATTCAACATGGTGGCTGGGAAAACCATTAATATTGGTGAAAATATTTTCAAAGGCTCTTGGTACAAAACATAAAAAATAAAACAAAGTATTGGTGAATCAACCTTGTTTAATGGTGATGAAACTAAGACAGTAGTTCAACTGATAAACTAGTGGTCAGCCCTTTAATGTCTCTAGTTGGGAAGGGATGGAGCTGCTATTAGCCTGGTAATCTGAGCCACGTGAAGGTTTAACTATTTGCAGATGTAATGACAAAATTTGCCAAAACGGCTGCACTGTGAATGTTGGCCAAGGCTTGAACTGCAGGAACGCAACTCCAACACAACAGATAGACGCTCAAACATGTTACTCAGGCAAATTTTTGTAGTCATTATACATGTGTAGGTATTGAATTTTCAAGTAGCCTGTCTGCAGCTCAATTGACTTTTGTTCTGGTAGCCTGTAAATAAACACAAGATTTCTTGTTGTAGACCCCCCCCCCCCCTTGCATAGTTGCATAATAATTGTCTTTGATTGGCTGATCTGTCAATTCACTCTTTGTAACTACATGTATTCTGATTTAACTAGGGAAAGGCCTTGCATCAGAGTAGTCTCTGTAAAATATTTACAGCTGGGCAGGGATGGGAAGACCCCAAGCTAAAGTATGAGCAGACATATTAAGTATGAGGTTGTTCTTATTTGATGTTTTTTTTTAGATTGCAGCTGGCTATTTTCAAGAGCTTGATGACCGCATTAACTATGTAGCCACAAAAGTCGTACATCTTGGTGACCAGCTTGAGGGAATCAATGCCCCACGATCAAGATCTCTTGAAGCTCAGGAACTCATGAAATATTTTGAAGAATTTGCAACTCAAGATAAGCTTACCTCTAAAGTCTTTACTGATGCTGATCAGGTAAACCCAGAAACTGTATGTCAGATTTAATCAATCAATTAAATAGACTTCATTGTTCTTGACCATCTTGGCCATAACAAGAAGGCATCTTCAAGCAAAACTACTAAGTCTTTTTGGGGTTACACCTATATATACTTGCAAGAAGGTTGTCATACAAGAATAGAACATTTGTTATTTAGTAAATTAGTGATTTAGTAAATTTACCGGTTAGGAATAAATTATCACTGACGTCAGACTAACTACATACTAACATACATGTATCAGAAACGCCAGGCAGTGCTAGAATTTGTAGTTTTAGTTACATTAGTTTTCCCAGTCTAAAGGGAAATTCTTTTAGCATTGTTGTTATGTCAACCTATTCATTTTACTGCATGATAGGTACAATGTTACACGAGCAGAAACGTACAAAAACAAATGCTGATCTTATTTTTTATTTATTCATTTTTGTTTTAACTTTGAAATAATTACATCTTCATCTGCATGCTGGTTACATCATGTCGTCCAAAATTATCTTTTTCTTACTGATGAATTCGAGTCTGACGTCAGTGATAATTTATTCCTAATTGGTAAATTTACTAAATCACTAATGTACTAAATTACAAATGTTCTATTCTAGTAATGACAACCTTCTTGCAAGTAGGTGTATGCATGACATTTTGTACACCCATTCACTTTGATTTTATTCTGAGAAATTAATGTTACATATTGTTTTCAAGAAAATGTTTTGCATTGAACACGATAATTTGAATAATTAATACCCAATTTAATATTGATAATAGTTGTATTTATGAAACTTAATGGGACGGTAACAAACCTTTTTCTGGGTGAAAGGGAGAGGGCTACTACCATTTTTTAAAAGTTTGCTGCAGATCCCCAGCCCCCCACCCCCCCCCTAAATAAAAATGTACCTTCCCTAATAATGATGATGATAAAAGGAGATTTGAGGCTCACATTTCAATGAGTAACACTGTGCTAGGGGAGACATCTATACATTATGCATTATGAGTAAATTAATATTATTGATTAATTGGGAAATAACTTCTTATTAGATTCACGAGGCTGCTAACATCATACAAAAGTTATCAATCATTGCACAGGAATTGCCATCAGACAGGTATGGAATGCTTGCAAACCAATTTTGGGGTGTATGATCAGATAGTTACATATAATGATATTTAGTATGCTTTATTTATTATTGTCTTTTTAATTTTAACACATTTTTAAAAAT